CAGTCAAAGAGCCATACTGGAGCACACGCACTTTCCCCCAGCCCCGGAAGGATCCAGCTTCACTGATTACAGGTTTGAAAAGGCAACATGGCTCTGCCTGCAATCAAACTACACTTGGGGAGGGAGAGCACAAGCGAGCCACGGTCTTTCCCTCCAGCCTTTGCCCAAAGCCCTGCACCAGGAGGATGAAGTTTGAATTCCTCCCCCTCCCTCCGACCCACACGTACCTTTTCCAGCTGCTTCAAAAAGGACTTAAACTGCTCTGCTCTTGCCTCGGGTCCTCTGAAGAATCCCTGCCCAAACCAGCGCCCTCTACTATGAGGCAGGAAAACTGCATGCCTCACATATGTCAGGAATTTTTAGGCTTTTAACCCTTGCTTAACTCTGCTTGAGTGATCATAAAAGACTAGATGAGGCATACACTTCTCCTGCCTCATAGTAGAGGGCACTTTTTAAGAGGATTTTTTTAAACAGTAAAACGGAGACATCCACGGTGAGGCAGCAACTAGCTCGGCCTGACATCAGCTCTCGCCTTTTTCCTTTTACATTTTTTTTCTTTTCATGATGACAGGGGTGAGGCTAGACAAATATGCTACAGGAACAATAAATCGGGGTTGAATCACAAACAGTAATAGAATTAAAATGCTGAAAGATCAAACTATCAGGAGCCAACAGAAGGAAGCCTACAATTATCTGGGTGTTTTATGGTTATATAATATCAAAATTAAAACTACATCTAAAGAGTGATAAAATTGCTAAAAACAAAATTGAATAGTGAAAACACCATCAAAGCCATTAATATTTGGGCTATACCTATGATATGATACACTAAAGAAATTATTAAGCAGGCACAAACTGAATTGGACAATTTTGACCAAAAAACAAGGAAATGGATGACGAATCACTATATCCCCATAGGGCAGAGGTGGGTTCCTACTGGTTTGAGCAGGTTCACCATGCCCCCAAACTGGTTCTCTTGGCGGTGCCATAGGCGCCACCGTCTTGTTTTTGCTTTCTGCGCATGCCTGCCCCACAGAAATGAAAGCAGAGATTTACATCAAGTCAAACAGACTATTGAAGAAGAAAGATGTTCATTGGCTGATTATGTAAAAGATAGCCAAGAACAAGTATTGATGGAAATTTAAAACTGGAATATGAATGTGCAGGAAACAAAGCATGAATATTGAAATCATGTAATAAAATCAAGAACAGAATGATGGTAAGGAAAAAAATCACATGGCCAATGTCTACAAAACCAGCAAATGTATGTTGTGGTTGATAAATACCACAAAGACAATGGAAACTGAGAAAGAAATAACAAAACATGGTCTATTGACCATGCTGGTCTCTTAGGAAATTATATGAATGGATGTCTAACCTATTTGAAGGGCATTAGACTGGCTACCACAGATCTAACATCTTCCAACACAGCCACCCTTTTCTTACCAGTAAGTTCTTTGTACTGTCAAATTATTGGCAAATAATTTGAAGATAAAACTAAAGATAGTATGAACTAGTCAAAACTGTGAAACTGTTTAATCCATATTATAACTATTATAAAACTGTGAAATATGTTCAATTTCTTTTTACAGGAGAGGTATTTTAAATTTAAAATTAGGGCTTTGGTGTAATTTCTGAGCATGTGCAGTAAAAACAAACAAACAATTGTATCATTATTATTAAGAAATAATTATTATTAAGAAGCAAACTATAAAATTGTTAATATTCACATTAGTAAAATGTTCATTAGTACATTGGCTATGACCTTTGATTTTTTTTTATACAGTACTGGAAAACATATGAACAAATATTATAATATTTTTTCCCTAGTATTAAGAAAAACCAATCAATGATTATATGTTTAATAGGCATCTGGTAGAAGCCACACTGATATCACATTACATATTAATTAGATAAAATTGTGTCAGTCACATCACGAAATGAATGATGTATTGTACATAATTTGTGACAAGGGCAACATTGCATCATTATGTCATTATT